TGTATGTATGTATGTATGTATGTATGTATGTATGTATGTCTGCCTGTCTGTCTGTCTGTCTGTCTGTCTATCTCTCCCCTCTCATTATCTCTCGGTCTTCCTTTCAGGACGACTAATTACGGACAAAACAAACACCGAATTCCCGGCGACATAACTTGTTTTTGGTAATCAGCGTAAGATTGGCTAATTATGCAGTGTAAAGAAATAACGTCTTCGGCATATTATTGCACGGTATTCTGCATGAACAGCCTGTGTGACCGTGTACACGATAGCACGGACGCGATCACTACGCTTAACGATAGGATTTAAGACTTAAATGTTTGATATAAACTTAGATTGTAAGCCATTTAGATCTCCTGTTTAGATGGCATTTGACGATTCTTGATTCAGATTATCTTTTCGGTAAAGTAGACACCGAAACGCGTTGTTGCGGGTTTAATAATAGATGGCGTGAGATGTGACACAGTCCTGTGTGAAATACTTGTTGTCAGTTTGGTCTGTAACGTTAGACTAAAACTAGCTGCCGCCTAGTCCATGGGGTCTTGTCTGCGCTATTTGCCCATTAACACAAACGAGAAGAAGTTTGTATATAGTGAAGATGGAAAACAATACAAACGATGGAAACATGGAAAACAGGCCGCGTTTAGTAATTGCGCCAAAAATCTACGAACTTGCTGTTTGGCCAAGGACTTCGAGTAGGAGATCGATGCGGCTGTTTCCAACGAGAGTTAGAGACATGCAGCGAGTCTGTTGATATGCACGCCTGCAGGCGCAAGGGGATCATGTAGCCATTGCGTTATTCCCTCTCATTTCCCAGAAAAGCGACGACAAATGTCATTTCGCGGATGCCTAAACGCGAATGCGACGAAATCTCATTATTCGCAACTGCCATCGTTTGAGAAATTCGCTTACACATAGTAAGCGTGCTTACAACGACGGCCGATTCCGCCACCACCGTCTCCGCCACCGTTACTGCTGCTTGCATGCGCACGCCGCACGGTAAAGCCACCATCGTCCCCATCACCGCCACCACCATCATCATCACCATCATCATCACCATCACAGCCACCATCGCCACCGCCACCGCCATCATCAACACTATCATCATCACCATCACCACCACCATCGCCACCGCCGTCCCCACCACTGCCACCGCCATTAACATCACCATCATCATCACCATCACAACCGCCACCGCCACCGCCGTCCCCACCACCGCCACCGCCACCGCCGCCACCACTACCACCACGACCATCAACAACAACAACACCCCCATCACCACCACCACCACCAGCACCAACATCATCACCACCACCACGACCATCATCATCATTATTATCACCACCACCACCGCCACCGCCACCGCCATCGCCATCGACGCCGGCACCACTACCACCACAGTCACCACAATCACTACCACAACCACAACCATCACCACCATCACCACTACCACCACCACCGCCGCCGCCGCCGCAACCATTACTACCACCACCACCAACAACAACAACAACAACAGCAACAACAACAACAACAACAACAACGCAGCCCCCCCCCCATAATCACCACCATCATCATTATCATCACTACCACCACCACCGCCACCACCACTACCAACAGCAACAACACCGCCTCTACCATAATCACAACCATTATCATTACCACCACTACCCCCACCACCACCAACAACAACACCAACACCACCAACACCAACACCACCACCACCACACCACCACCACTACCACCACCACCAACAACAACAACAACAACAACAACAACAATAATAATAATAATAACAACAACAACAACAACAACAACAACACCAACAACAACAACATCAACACCACCACCACCACCACCAACACCACCACCACCACACCACCAACACCACCGCCAACACCACCAAAAATAAAAAAAATAAATTATATAAAATACAAAAATAAAAAAAAAAAAAAGAAAAAATAAAAATAATATAAAAAAATAATAATAGAAAATATATAAATCATGAAATATAAAATATATGATATCACAAAAATAGAAAATAATGAAATAAATTAATAAATAAAAAATAATAAAAAATAAAATGAAAAAATAAATAATGAAAAAAATTAAATATAAAATATATAAAAATTTAAATTAATAATTAGGGAAATATAATATAAATTAATGAATTAAAAATGAATGAAAATAAAAATAAAAAAATAAAATAAAAAAAAAAAAAAAAAAAAAAAAATATAAAATAAAATAAAAAAATATAAAAAAATATAATTGACTCTAGTTTACCAGACGCAAACGGGAGTAGATTATTTAATATTACATCACATCGCCTCTGCTATCGAAAGTGATTTTTCAGCAATCCTTAAAGCATTACGAGATAACTAACGCATCGAAAGGTATATGCTCGAGAATATAAATAGTAGTATATCATATAAAGATGCAGATATCTCAGAATTATATAGACTGTCACTGTTATGAATATAGCGTGAGCAGTTGCTTACACTATTAAAACTTACCAGTTACCATTACATTACGAGTCGACACGAGTTCAAAACAAACTGGATAAACACGGGCTTTGAAACATGGAATTCTCATATGTTCTCTGACATTCCAAATCAACCAATTATAATTGGCATCATATTGTAGAAAGCACGTCTATACATACGTCAGAGGGGCAGCCGCCGCGGCCACCCCAAATTTCAATCACCATGCAGTATCGAATTGTAGCCTTATAGCGCAAGACATTTATGATAAATGCACCGTTCATAGGTCAATGCGATTTTACGACCAACAACCATATTTGATGTGGTTCGTATAAGGTAAAAAATGCCACAGGCAAAAGTGTCGCAATTATTCCATTCATACAATATTGCTTCACCGTCTCAGCAGCCGCTTTTTAATGCAAAAACAAATTCGCGTATGAATCGAAGGGCGCATAGAAAGCGCGCGTGCTGCTTATGCCGTTCGTGCTGGTAAGAAGAACTCATAGAAAATCTTGGAAAATGAAAAATGCCATTAGATAGCGTGTAATGAAAACTATACATCCAAGAAAATCATATCAAGTTATCAAGATAGGTATAACGTCGTTATTCCAGTGCCTGTTGAACTACGGACCATGATCGCCCTAACCATCGTAACTCCTGTGTGGAGCACGCCGAATATTCCCGCGCGCGCGCTCTCACTGGGCGGCCGTGTGCTGCCTTCGGGTGTGTGTGTGTGTGTGGTGCTGCTGTCTTCGTGCGTGCGTGCGTGCGTGCGTGCTGTGTTCTGATTGTGTGTGGCTGTGTGGTGTGTGTGTGTGTGTGTTGTGTGTGTGCGCTGTGTGTATGTGTTTGCGTGCGTGTGTCTACTTGCGCGCTTGACGTGCATTGCCTATCTTGGTGCGTTGCGTGTGCTTACGTGCGTGCACGTCGCGCGCCGTGCGCGTGTTCACCCATAAAATAACAACGTAAAATCTATTCGTTTTAGTGTTTTAGTTTTCTTTTAGTGGAACCACATTTCCGTGAAACGCCCCCCCCCCCCCTACCCCCCCCCCCCCCTCCGGGAGGAAATTTAGGGTATACGATATACCCGAAGAAATGCACCACCGAATCGTCAACAGCATTTCGGAGTTCAAACGTACGCTCTTTTCTTCAAGCCGTGCATCTGTGCCACCAGGGGTGTTGATAACAGACGTACCGCCAGCAAGTGACACCCAGCCATTAGGCACTTAGTTCAGGCTACGTTCTCCTAGCTATTTACAGCACAATTGACTAAGTGGATGTTTCGGTAAAGGTTATGTAAATATGCTGTGCGCCAAAGGTTGCCTATACGTGTGTGCGCGCGTGTGTTGTGTGGTGTGTGTGTGTGTGTGTTGATGAGTTGTGTGGCTGTGTGTATAATGTGATTGTGGGTGTTGATGTGTGTGTGTGTGTGTTTGTGTGTGCTTGTTGTGGTGTTGTAGTGCGCGCGCGCGTGTGTGTACGTGCATATGTGTGAGTGCGTATGGTCGCGTACATGCACGAATGGGCGGAAAACGTGTGTACTCAACGATATACACATTTGCCACAGTGATGTATTATGATCTAGCGCATCAATGAAGTAACGATGTGGTGTGCTCCAGACGCGACTATTTTATAGCATCCTGTAATAACCGTGTAAATAGGCGCATAAACCGACAGGCGGCGGCGCGGGATCTGAGGGTCTGGTTTGTGGTAGCGAGTGCGCGCGTCTTCCTCAATGTCTGGTAACACAATGACCAGGTCATTGCAAACTATATGATGACCAGTGTTCTATCAGTGTAGACAGTGCTACTAGTTACAGTACAGTCAGTAGCAGCACTACCAGTCAGTAGCAGCACTATCAGTCACTGCAGTCAGTAGCAGCACTACCAATCAGTGTAGTCAGTAGCAGCACTACCAATCAGTGCAGTCAGTAGCAGCACTACAGTCAGTCAGTCAGCTGCAGAACTACCAGTCAGTGCAGTTAGTAGCAACACTACAGTCAGTGCAGTCAGTAGCAGCACTACCAATCAGTGCGGTCAGTAGCAACACTACCAGTCAGTGCGGTCAGTAGCAACACTACCAGTCAGTGCAGTCAGTAGCAACACTACCAGTCAGTGCAGTCAGTAGCAGCACTACCAGTCCTACGGCCAGTAGCAGCACTACCAGTCAGTGCTGACACTACCAAAACTAGTGGGCGACCTCTAAATCCGATCTATGGTCAGTGTCTGCATATACCGGCTCGCACTGACATGCCACGAAACTGGCATGAAGTGCGGGAAATGCGAAAAACGAGAAACAATCAACGATTATCAGTAAAACATTATTATAAGTGGCTTTTTAGTATAAAGCAATGCCTATTACTCCGTAATAGTTTCGTCACGCTGACGTGTTTGAACTTGTGCAAAAATGTTTCCTTCGCTACTAGACATTTCTACCGTGTCATTCGTTTTGATTGGGCATGCTATTATCGTGGTTCGTACGCTAAATCATGTCAACTCGTAAGTATTACCTAATAATCTATCATAACAACGTTCAGCTTGATTCAAGTGCCAATTTCGCCCGTAACCGTGAGAGGTTTTCGACCGATTTGGCAGTTGTACTCGACTCGGTGTACTAGAACTAATTGCGTAACACGCGGAGTAACGTTTCGCAAACGCCTGCTAGTTACAATAAACACGAATGCCGTTACGCATGTGCCAGCGTGAACTCGCGTGTTTGTTATGGAGCGGACCCCGCCGGCTTCGGCACGCCAGGATGCGCAGGATGCGCGTCTGCCGTGCGTTATCACGTGACCGCCTGTAATACCCGCCCTCGTCCGATTTCGCTGCTGCCACGTGTTGCGCGGTTCGCGTTTCACAACAATTTAACTCCGCCGCACCGTATATTGTTTCAACTGGCATTTCACCATCACAAATATTGAACAAAGAACCAGTTTCGATCCCATCCACGTGTATTAATCGAGTAAGCAAAATCGAGAAGCATATATACTATATATATTATATATATATATATATATATATATATTATATATAATTATATAGCTATATGCATATACTATTTAGCACGCACGCATGAACGCCAGCACGCAAGGACGAAAGCACACACTCATGGACATAAATACACATGTATAACGAGGGAAAGAGAGAGTCAGTTTTCCCTTATGGCGTAATCGGGGTGTTAGAGCAAGCCGAGGAGAGGCGGGTGGCGCGTGCATGGGGTGTTGTGACTTCTGGAGTGTCGTAACGACCGGGTTACGTTTTACGGTCATGCTGAGACGCTGATCGCGTTACGGAGCGATCATCCGTGCACGGTTTTTATGACGGGAGCACTCGACGTGTGCAGCGGCACGAGTGAAGTGTAGCAAGTAACAGCCGAGCCTCTCAAATGAGCTGTTTTTTTTATCCTAAGGCGTGTTGTTGGTGGTGGGCTTGATAAGGGTAGTGAGGGGCGTAATGATGATGATGACGACGACGACGCCGATCATGATAATGGTGATGATGACGATGATGACGACGCTTTTGCTGCTATTGCTGCCACTACTAATACTGCCACCGCTACGGCTCCTCCTGCTACTACTACTGCTGCTGTTGTTGTTGTTGTTGTTGTTGTTGTTGTTGTTGTTGTTTGTTGTTGCTGCTGTGCTGCTGCTGCTTGCTGCTTCTGCTCTGCTGCTAACTACTACTACTACTACCACACTACTACTACTACTACTATACTACTACCCCCACTACTCACTACTTTACTT